TATATAATGGTGCTCAGTCACTCACACGTTTTGTTTACAATAAATTTATGTTTATAGAACAGAAACAGTGTTAAATGAAGATTTGAAAAATACAAAAACGGTTCAAACCATTCAGATATCAGACAGTTGTTAAAGCTTACAATGGATCAAAAGAGGGCAGAGACAGAGCGGCTTCCACTGAAAACTATACTAAAGACTTTTCTCAGAAATTTCCCTGTATTAGGAGAATCTAAATTTGTAAGGTATGAATGTAAATATCTATGCATAGTAATATTAAATTGTAATGTTCTGGCTGTCAGTCTACAAGTCTAGTGTAAAAAAGAATGCTACACTCTACAATCTAATAATAAAGTTATAGAGTTATTTTGCATTCACATTTCTTTGTAAACGGAGGACTCACTAAAGATGTCCTTTGATCAGTCAATAAATTACGAATAGTAAATCCTCGATCAGCCATTATTTCTTCACAAGGTTAAATTAAATCAAGAAATCCATTGTGCTCTGTAAAGTATCTATCTGATGTGCTACCTCCCCACAGAGATGAATGAAAATATTACTATTTCCATATCCTAGAGCATTAATACAAAACCATGCTTTTACAAAATTTGCATGATTTGCTTGCCAAGTTTCTAAACGGATGATTGTTCATGCCTTGCAATTACGATTGACATCTGAGGACAATAGATGATGATGGGATTTGCAATAAAACAAAGATTTTATTGGACAATGAATGTAACCAAATATCCAAACAAATTGTTAAAAGACTGAAACTGACTCCACCTGTCCATTGTTTCCATGTGTCAATCTTGCATAAGCAAACTACCAAGAAAGGAAGCAAGCAAGTTGATCAAACTTTTCATTGTATAAAAGCTCTGGAAATATAATAGAAAATGCAAGGAACTACATTTCTATCATGCATTCTCAATCTGTTCTAATTCTAGGTTTTCTACATCGTCTTGAATCACCCATTGTTATATGATGTCCGAGGAGTGAGATTGTCAATTTTTATTTCACTAAGAAATCGCGGTAATTTAATGTAATGATAATTTTTTATTGCCTTGCGACAACTACAAAGTTTAGTTTTCTATGAATATTTTTTTCTTATGAAACCAGACCTGTATTGTTCCAATTTCAAGTGGATTCACACCTCTATCTTTACTGAAAACTCAGATGTGTGAAACACCTCAGATACAAAGTAGGGATCGTTTATTTTAGCCTGATTCTCATTACTGATTTGTCCTTTCAATAGTGGTCAAGTTTCTCAGGGTACCCCAAAATGATGAACTACAAAATTTTACATGTCATTTAGTCACTATTTGAGATATTTTCCAACTATACAATATAAATTAGGCAACATTTTCACATACACTATGAAAATGAACTTTTCTTTTTGTTCCCTGCGCAATGCGTTGTGGGGACTTAGAAATACCGGTTGTATACCGTGCGTGCGTCTGTCTGTCCGGTATTGTTAGCGCTCTCACGTGTACAATTCTTGTCAGATTTATATGAATCTTATATCATAGGTTTATATCAGTATTATAATATTATAATGTTAATTATATGGGAAATTGCATTGTTAGCACTCATGTGTACAATTCTTGCCAGATTTTTATGAAACTTTTATCATAGGTTTATATCAGCAATGTTTTGGACAAGTTCGAAAATCAATGCCGATCAATTATTTTCACAAGAGTTTTGCCCCTTGGAAATATTAATTATTTGGAAAATTGCATTGTAAGTAATCGCACGAATACATGTTTTGCCAGATTTTTATCAAATTTATATCATAGATTTATATCAGCAATGTCTCGGACAATTCGAAAAGCAGTGCCGATCAAATATTTTTAAAAGAATCATTAATTATATTGGAAATTGTATTGTATTTGCTCTCTATTTCTCTAAGATATTTATAAAAAGGTTTAAAGAACCCTTGGACATATAAAATATGTGCAACGCGGGAGACATTGGAACTTTTGTTCTTCAATTTAACATTTTTTTTTAAACAGGATTGGAACTTCATCAGGTATTGGGATTTTTGAGGCAGGACTCTTATATTGCCTCCTCAAGAGTTTTACTAAATGGCAGGATAAAACCTGTAACAGTTGCAACACTTAGGAAATATTTATCAAAGGTACCAGGATTATAATTTAGTACGCCAGACGGGCGTTTCGTCTACATAAAACTCATCAGTGACGCTCATATCAAAATAGTCATGAAGCCAAACAAGTACAAAGTTGAAGACCATTGAGGATCCAAAATTAGGAAACTTTTGAGATTCCATGATGGACCAGGGAATAAAGAAAAAGACCAAAAAGCTACTGGACATGAATTTTTAACCTTTCTCCAGGCCACAAATGGTTTGTTGGCCAAAATTAATGTAAAAGGTAGTGAATCTTAAGTGGAAGAAATAATATCAATATGAATAGGGTGTTCGGAGATATTTATAATTGTAACATTTTCAAGAATCAAATCCATAGTGCATCTATTTTTTGTCAACATGTTTATGGTTACGAGGACCAGTTACTGTCATTTAATTACCTGACCACTTAATTATATTAAGTTTGAATATTAAAGTCATATATGCTATTCTATAGTTAGAAAAGAAGATTTTAAAATAAACCAGACTTACCGTCATTACGTCCAAGAATTCTATAGCCTTTCTTCCTTTTGCTAAATGTTCTGATCATGAATTGTGTCAACTGAGACCTATTTGATTTTCATAAAAACAAAATGCCCTGAAAACCAACCAACTTTCATTAGCCTTAGTATAAACACCTACGCTCACTATACTATATTTTACTTTTTTTCTAGGAACAGCTACAGTTGTAAATGGCATAAAAGTTGATACAAAGCGCAGGTAGGTTAATGCCGGATTTTATTAATTTTCTAGGCATCCCCCCTTTTTAATTTATTTTTTATTTTGAAAGAAAAATAACTGATTCCAGAATTGTTTATGTGGTACACATTGGTGAAACGTCTACCAAAAAATATTTTCTGCTGTCACACGTTGTGTCTAAGTCGTCACGTGATTTTACGATATGACTAATTTCCCATATGGTTTAGCCTGTAGAACAAGTTCCCATACTAAAAATGTCGCCATGAAATTTCACTGTATGGTAAAAGATACCTTTTACTCCATAAAAACTGCTGATCGCTCACTGAAAAATGTTTCCCTTTATTTTAACAACATTAAAACCAGGAATTCACGTCCGTTGTTGTGAGTTTTATCGTGAAAGATACCTCTATTTTCAATTTAACCAAAAATTTATACAAGCGTTCAGCAATTTTCAATAAGCTGACTAATTCTTCTATAAACAACTCAAAGGATTTGAAATAATATTGCCGTTGGTAACTTGTTCTACTCGTTTGTTTGTTGTTCGCATATACCGTCTGAAATGACGCCCATTGCATAAACGCTTTACTGATCGCGGAAGGGAGGTAATCGAGGTAAAACATTCCAAAGTTGCGTTTACGGGAATTTCAAAAATGAAAGATAAAAACATGCTTGCGCTGTTGTTTCTGATTATATCATGCACGCATATTTAGATTGATTGATTGATTGATTGTTGGTTGCTTAACGTCCAGTGGCAAATATTTCATGCATATTCAGGACGAGAACAAGTTCACAATAAATACAATAGGTAGGTTCTGTAATAGATTAAGGGATTAAAGTCGGAGAAATTTAGACTGCCACGGGAAATGAGGGTATATTGGATAGGGACAGAAATTTAGCCTTGCAACAGGTCACCTACGGACCCCTCAAAGAGTTGTTGCAAGGGTTCTTAACGTGCAAAGAGCGTGGCACTCTCCTTACACGAGGCATCGGATTTAACGTCCCCATTCTGACCGGACGTGGCTGCAAATTTGTACATCCCGCACAGCCAAACGGACGCCCCACTTTAGCACGGGTTTTACTGCCGGTCGGAGGAAGACCAATGGTGACCATACTTCTATTCCCCAGTCACCCTTGGGGGCCGCATATTTAGAAAAAACGCATATATGGCAATCAATAACATTCGTTAATTATTAAAAATACCATGCCCTTAAAGAAGTACGTTTTGAAAAAAAAAGGGGGTGGGTGTTTCATTTTCAATATTTCACACACAATTTGAGCATTCTTTCTTGAATATATAATATAAAGGATTTGTATGGGTTATGCATAGTTTTAAATTTGTGTCATACTGTTGAGACACCATTCTGATGTGTTTTTTAGTTTAAAATGACAAAACGTATTAAAGTCTATATGTAGAAGGTGTTGATCAAATCCTTTCTTACTGATTTAAAAAAAAGAAGCTATTTCAAGGGTCCTCAATTATCAATTTCCTGGTGAAGTCTTAAAATTTATAACAATAATTAATATTGAGCACATTATGAATGAATTTCCTTGATAAAACCCAGTCGTTCTGCAAATGAAGGGTTTATTAAAATCAGAGACATTATAAGTCATATATATACATGATATTTCTCTCTTAAAATGTGTAAGTTGACCTCAAGAAATCAAATCTGCTGTGAGAATTATGTACCATTCAATATCCCCTTTAACTGCTGAATAAGAGACAGTGGCAAAGCCCAGAAAATATTAAAAATTGTATTTCTTTAACTGCTGAATCCATTTGTCCAAGTTGAAAACTTACTTAACTTCTAACACTAAATAAAAAAAGTACATCAATTACTAGTAGTTAGCCCAAAATTTAAGAAAGATGATAAAAGAAAACAAATAGCATACAATAAGAGAATTTCTAAAACATTTATCTTTATATACATGTACATAAATGTGTACTTTCACTAAAAACTTGCATGTTTCATAATACTCATTGTATTATGATGTTTATGTATCTTGCCAGACAAGGGTAAATAAATAATGTCTATACAATGGTTTGTAATAAAGCTTTTGATTTTTTCAATTCATAATAAAGTATAAATGAATGGTAAAATAGTAAATGTCTATTTAAATGTTTTATAAAGATGTCTGATGAATCTTCATATATTTCTGATCTAAATAATGCCTCACACTTTATTTTGAAAATATCAAATCCTGCTACACTAATTTTTTTCATTAAATAAATCCAAATCACATTCAAACCTTTAAAATGTCTCTTTCTTACATGTTCCAGAATCAAATTAGTTGTTGGTTCCTTGTTTGATATCCATTTGTTGTAATACTAAACATTGTTTGGCTTCAATGTTTTTCAACTGGTTTATTTTAAATTCACTTTTTTGTATGCCACAAATCAGCTTTACACATTGTTATTTAAAGCTATCAGTCTGTTTTGACATCTTAGTAATAAATGTCATAAATATTCATAAACATTTCATTTCTCACAGATTTTAAATCATCACAATATTATAACATGTTTTATCAGACAATTTCCTTTTGTATGTAAATCCCCACAAGAAACAAGTACACAGTATTTTCCTCTGATTATATTTTTATTTCTCTGTCTTCTAAGTTCCAGAAACACTATTGTTCAACATATTGATATTCATTTGTTGTCATACTGAAAATTGCATTATTCCTCAATTTTCCTTTAATTCACATGTAACATGTCATGAATTATCTTATACAAAGCTCAGTAATCAGTCTTCTTTGATATATATCAAAAGCTAATTCTCACATATATATTTTCTATCTGATAATCATTTCTCTTTTCATGCACAGATCCAGAATCATCTCTGTAGTTTTTATATGATACACAATTTCCTTTTGCTGCATTTTCAAAATAAAGGAAGTGCAGTTTTTTTCTCTCTCAGTTTCATTGTGTGGTATAATATCATTGCTTACAAGTCACCAAAGTGCTGAAAATAGAATTGTAAACAATATTTGGATAAAATATACTTGACATATGAGGATGTGGAGTTTACAGAATAGAGAATAATGGACCAAAAAATTTATAATAAGAATAGAGAATAATGAGGTGCTAAAATATAAAGAATAGAGAATAATGGGCAAAATGTATAAAGAATAGAGAGAAATGGCCTAAAAAACTAAAGAATACAGAAATGAAGGACCCCCATCCAGACCCTCATATATGATCTGATACAAAATAGTAAGTTTAATTCTATCTTCCTATAAAATAGCATAACAGTTAACTTGGATGTTACCTTTCAGTTAAAAATACATTTCCAAATTAAAAAGTTTCTTTAAAATAACAATATATATTATATAGTTTAAAATACATAATACTAAAAATGATACTTTCTGAGACATAATCACTGATTAACCAATATGCTTATTTATATTACTTCATCTGCTCTGACTGAATGAAACTGAGGGAAGCATAACAGTTATGTACACACAAAACAATATAATAATATCAATGCTTACATTTTGGAGACCTCTTGTTTGGCATTGTGGAAACTATGTTTTCTCTGGGTATTAGAAATTTCATTCTAATGTGTAGTGATAATCTTTCTACAAAAGAAGAAGATAACTTTACAATCATAACTGGAATATTTCAAGCCCATAACACTCCAAATAGTTGAAAAGTGTATTTTGATAAACAAAAGTGTCCTCCTAATCTGTACTAGACATCATAGTTACAACAGACAGAACTCATGTCAATTTTGATAGTTAATCAATATAATAATAATATGTTTATATCATCTTTTTAAAGTGCAATAAATCAATAAATCAGATTTGCTCTATGAATGAACACAAAAAGTGATAAAATAAAATGTTAATATGAGATTTTAAAACATGAATGAAATTAATATTGGTTTCGAAAAATGGTCACATCATACTAAATAATTATAAAAGCTAGTTATTTTTATATATCAAATCCCTACTTTTAGACAAGCTATTGCATGATTGCACACATTGTGCCATGATGCACTTAAAAAATGCATATTTTTTACTATGCTCTCTTTTTCTTTCTTTGACCCCCTTCTTTGTGTTTGTAATATGTAAATGATTATACAAATCAAACACCTAAGAGAAAATGGGACATAATCATGATGCTTAAAGAGTAATATGAAGATTTATGCTCAAAATATATGAAAGTGTTTTCCTCCATGAAAATATGATCTAATATGACCATGGCATGTCAGTCTGACAGCACTTGTCCATAAGCACCAACATTATTTTAACACTAGTTAAGTAATTTTGACTTGCCTAAAATTATACTTTCTATAAACACTGCCTTTCGTCCTTGCCGTTTTTTAAATAGCCAGAAAAACGCCAAATGTGAAAATTAACACCCCTTTTTAAAGAAAGGTACATTTTAATCTAGATGTATAATCTTCCTTCAATGAAATGAAATATACGGCCTTTGGCAGTAAAAGAATATGAAAATTTGAAACAAACTTACCTCAAAATAATAGCAATATCCATCTTTGAAACGTGTGTTTACGTGATAAGACACTCATGACAAGGTGCCCGATCAGCTGATGATCACGAAGTATGACGTGATGTGCAAGCCCAACCTTGACGTTGATGGAACGATCTAGCCAATCAGATTCCGCGTAGTTTGGTAAATGACGTCAGATTTAGATTTCGATGCAAACACCGATATTCAGTGCCAGTTTTTTTTTAAAGTACATTAACCTACCTGCGAGATGTCTTAATGTGGCTAAGTGGATCAAGTGTAATACCAGCAATAGGTTTTCACAAACCTATTGACATTGAATTTGGAGAATCCACATTTGTGAACACCTGTACTCTAGCTATAACACTTAAAGTTCAACCTGATTTATCAGATGCTGTCACATATTATACAGAACTAATCATAAACAGCAAGACATTTGGAAAAGAAAAATAGGGATTGCTATTGTCCCTTGGACATATAAAATATGTGCAACGCGGGGGACATTGGAACTTTTGTTCTTTAATTTAACATTTTTTTTTTTAAACAGGATTGGAACTTCATCAGGTATTGGGACTTTTGAGGCATGACTCTTTTATTGCCTCCTCAAGAGTTTTACTAAATGGCAGAATAAAACTTGTAACAGTTGCAACACTTAGGAAATATTTATCAAAGGTACCAGGATTATAATTTAGTACGCCCTTGTCTCAAACAGCAGACAAAGGTGTAAATTGTAAATTTTTAATCATCTAAATCGTGTCAAATAAATAGCTGAAAATACTTGATATAAAGCTAAACATAGAAAAAAATACATGACATGCTTTGTATATCTAGTATAAATTTAGTATTTTACTTCCTTGTACGTCACGAAACATTGCCACTATGGGTCAAATGGAACATAGGGGTATAATTGCATTTTTTTATTTTGAAGAAAATTATACAGATAAAAAGAAAATTTAAGTGGCATTCTTAAGCTATTCATACATATATAAATTGAAAAGCAAAAATAATCATTGATAAAACATTTAAGCAATCAATTACAAGTGAACGATTCAGAAGCCGTCTGATAGTCGTTATCGATTCCTTTTTCACCCGTGGAACCGTCAAATGTTTGGCCGTCTGATAGTCGTTATCGCTTCTTTTTTTCCATCCAGGAAACCGCCAAATGTTTGAATAATTCTGTCCACTAATGTATTCCTTTGTTTCTTCTGTGATATTCGTCATTGTATCCCTTAAGATATTGTTCATTTTTCTATTGCCAAGATCAGGGGTGCATCTCATGTTCAGGTGACTGACGGACGGCATATTTTGCGATGTTTTGTCGTACACCATTTTTTTTTCTTTTTAATAGCTTTCACTATACCGAAATGCTGGTTCTGTCAACAGCTTCAAAAGCAATGTCCATGGTGGGGCCGGTTTTGTCAGTAAGATCAAGATCATCAAAGTCACTGTCGTTCAATTCATTTGTGCCTCCTTGTTTGGTGAAGGATGCGAACTGTTTATCTTTGTAGGATTCCTATTTTTTGTTAGTTCCAGTCTTATTCATAGTATGAATGAAACAATCGAACCAGGTTACCAAGGGTTCTTTAATTCAAGGAAGTGACATATCTTGAATACAAATCATTAAATAGTGTTGTTTTACCTGTTTATTGAACAAAAACTAAATAATCTTTCTCAGTTAAAAATATGAATATATTTGATAGCCAATGTGGACTGTAATAAGTAAAATAACCAAAATACTGACCTCCGAGGAAAATTAAAAAAGGAAAGTCCCTGATTTACTGTAAATATTGTCTGAAATTGCATACTGGATATTGTGGGAACAAGTTAATGTTTGAACACATAATTCAAAATAAATAATTGTGATTAAATAATTCATCTGCGACATAGCTGAATATTTGTCCATGCTTAACTGGATGATATATTCCAGATTTACCTTCATCTTTAAGAAAAGACTACTCTTTTAACATACTCCTCTGAATTCAAATATTTATCAAACTGTATAAAGAAATCATGTTGTCGTTTAGCAGAATAGTTTGTTATTCCTTCTGGAAGATCTACCACTCCAATATCTCTATTACCAATAATTGAGATTGATACTTTTCATCAAAACACAAACAATTTCTAACATATTTTGGGGGCTCGGTGGCCAATTGGTCTAAGTAGTTCTACTACTGATTGATTGATTGTTGATTGCTTAACGTCCAGTGGCAAATATTTCATGCATATTCAGGACGAGAACAAGTTAACAATAAATACAATAGGTAGGTTCTGTAATAGGGGCTTCCGGGATTTAGGTCGGTGAAATTTAGACTGCCACGGGAAAAGAGGGTATATTGGATAGGGACAGAAATTTAGCCTTGCAACAGGTCACCTACGGACCCCTCAAAGAGTTTTTGCAAGGGTTCTTAACGTGCAAAGAGCGTGGGACTCTCTTTACACGAGACATCGGATTTAACGTCCCCATTCTGACCGGACGTGGCTGCAAATTTGTACATCCCGCACAGCCAAACGGACGCCCCACTTTAGCAAGGGTTTAACTGCCGGTCGGAGGAAGACCAATGGTGACCATACTTCTATTCCCCAGTCACCCTTGGGGGGAGTTCTACTACTGTAATCACTAGCCAGTCAAAACTGAGGTTGTGAGCTCTAACCCCGCTCGTGTGGGTGCACTCGACTTCAATCTCATTAAACAGGATTCTGATCATTCACAGTTTTCCTCTTGAATGTTGGTGGATTTCTCCGGGCACTCCTGGTGCCTCGAAATAGCCCCAAATAGCGTTAAAACACCTTCAAAACGTTTGAATTTTGAAATACTAAGGCTTTTTTTTCTACATCAGGAATAGATTACCTTAGCTGTTTTTGGCAAAACCTTTAGGAATTGTGGTCCTCAATGCTCTTCAGTATTGTACTTTATTTGTCCTTTTTAACTTTTTTGTATTCGAGCGTCACTGGTGAGTCTTTTGTAGACGAAACGCGCGTCTGGTGTAAAAACAAAATCTAATCATGGTATCAATGATGAGTTTTATCTACAGTCAATCATCTTATATTTTTCATGTCATTGGCTAAAGGTGACCTAACATACTCATTAACCCAGTTTGGAATGATAATTCATCTTTCGTCAAAACATTTAAAAAATTTCAATAAATAATCTAGAAGTTCTAGTTTTTAAATTGAAAAAAAAAGAAAGATAACTCTTGCACAATATTGTAACATCTCCAGGTAAAAAAAGGGATAACTCGTAAGTAATATTATAACAGATAATGATGCATTCATTTTCTTCAATTATGATAACTTAAAATGATTTACATATTTACTATGATCTAATTGCCTCTATTTTTCTTTAAATTCTTTTGTAGAGAAAGATTTTGTCGTTGTTGTTGCTTACGAGTAATCAGATGACTATTAATGTTAATCTTTAACCAAGCGAATCCGTTTCTTATCTTTCAAAGCATCAATTACTGCAGATTTGAAATTTCCTGCAAATATTTCCAATAAGGTCAACCACGCTCATAACTCAAACAGAAACCTACGGGTTGTAATCTGTTAAATACCTGTTGATGAGAAATTAACTTGTTAAAATTGATTTGTACCAATGAAAACTACTTGACAACTTATTTTAGTTTTAATGTTAATTTTTTTAACCGGTTAATTTACGCTATTTTAATCTCGCCTGTGTAGTAGACATCCCTCTTATAATTTGTTGTGTCTATGATTCTTCGAAAATTTTCTTTCATATTTTAATTTATACTCATATCAATGTAATTAAATCGTATCTTTGTATGTTGCACCTCTGTCCGTATTTTCCTTAACCTAGTTGTAATTCATATCATCACACCGAAAACTTTTCACAGCTTCGCGTCCCCCCCCCCCCCCACCCCCCCTGGACGTTAAGCAACCAACAATCAATCAATCAATTTATCTTGTAATGGTCTTTGTTTAAGATATATAGTGAGCGCACATGTCAACGGAGTTTTCAAACAATACGCCTTCAAATAAGACGTTTCGTCCTATAGTTGTATTTATATGTTTGTAGTTAGGTATTTTCCTATTCATTGTGAACAGAATTATACGGTCTTAAACAGAAATTTAACACTTACTCTAGCATTATTGACCTAACCTACCTATTGTATTTATTGTTAATTTGTTCTCGTCCTGAATATGCATGAAATATTTGCCACTGGACGTTAAGCAACCAACAATCAATCAATCAATCAAAGCGTGATATCCGCATATCCATAAATCGTACATTTATTTAAACAAGAATCAAT